AGATACTAATATCATACAGAAAATATTACGATTATTCATTATTGTATGAGATTAAATTCATATAAAAAATTACACGAACTAAATGCGAACCTACAACTTACGGGAGAAAAACGAAGACGCTTTTATAACTTAGCTATAGAGACTTCAATAGCATAAGCGAATCATCTCATATAAAAAAAAAATTTTTTAGCCTATCAGAGCCCACTGCTGAGCAAAGGCCTCTTTCTCACATGGAGAAGGTTTGAGCATTAATCACCACGCTTGCTCAAGACGGGTTGGTGATTTCAAACTTATAATTGTGAAATTATAAGTCCAGGTTTCCTCACGAATCACGATGTTTTCCTTCGCCGTCTGTCAGTGATGTCTAAATGCTCTTAGAAAGTACATATGACTCGGAAAAATCACATTGGTACTTGCTAGGTTCGAACCCGCGCCCTCGGACACGAGAGGCGGGCCCCTAACCACTAGGTCACCACTGACTGACTTTTACTTATAGAACAATATAAGTAAAAGATATTAAATAATTAATCTACTACTTAACTAGCTCATGAAAATATACATTGAACTGTACATGACATAAGGTTTTGTTACTGATGATCAAATACTTAAGATAATAGAATGTAATCATAACGGATGTTGAGCGAAAGACAAAGAACGAGATATCAATTGAAATATCATTATATAAACACATCTTCTATGTGGAGAGTTTAGTAAAAGTTTAGTTAGACTGACATAAAAAGTGTAATACTAATCGTATGATAGCTTTTAATAAAAGAAACGATGTTTCAGTATAAAAAATGTAAGAAGAAATATTTGATGAATAAAGAGATCTAAGTCTCGCGAGTATTCATTTAAATGAAACTTTAAACGAAATATTTTTCGGAATTACTACGCGTATTTTATTATTCTGAAACTATATACTTACTCCGAAGTTGCGATTACTTTTCAGCATGTAGTTATATAATAATAAAATAAAAAATATTATTATCATTTGACGAAATAAAGTTGCAAATATTAACATCACATCGGATATTCGATGATTTCATTGAATTATATTTAGACAATAAATATATGAGTATGAAGCTGTCTGTTTGACACAGACTACACTAGAAATAACTATTACATAAGTAATGTTGAATATTATTGATACTCGTTTATGAAAATCAAAAATAAAATTGACGAAGTCGTGTTCATATAATACGTGTATTATGTGCAGATACTGCTTTAAAATAAAAGATAAATTATGCTAAAAATTAATTGTGAACTAATATTTTTCTCTTTAAAAACCATATATAAAATAATCTCGATAATATGAGAAAGTAATATCTTTATTAATGACGTCATTACATACTGTTTCCAATAAAAAATATAGAGGAGAGAAATTTTAAAACACATCCAAGCACCTTCATAATGGACAAACGACTTGTAAGAAAATTTATTTAACAAGATAAATAGCAAAAGAAAGAGTGCTTCTATTAAAAATGTAATATTAATGTTCATAAATCTGAATTCATACATTTATTTAATGTTGTTTATAAATTTACTATTTAATTAAAGCGTTTCTTTGTGACTATCGACCCATATAGACTGATGGATAGCGAGTTCATTTAAATGGATTTCATTTATTATAAAAAAATCATTTAAAAGTTTATTTTCGTGTAATTTATAAATGATTAACCTATATATAAATGTTGACGGGTAAAATTAACGGCATGTTATTAATTCTTGTTAACATTAATTATTATCTTATAACCATAAATTACGAGATTTAACAGTTAACTGAAAATTATAAATAACTTTAATGTTCCAATGTTATCCTCCACATACATTACACTGGGATGCGATGATGGAAATATTAAATTTGATCATAATATATACCTCGTATTATTTAAAACTTTTTGAAACAGTCATAAATTTACACATAGTTCAAAGGATATTTAAGAATGATATAAAGAATTAAAAAATATTGTTGAATAAAAAATTAAAAACAAAAATACCTGAATAATTATTTCCCTTATTGTATGATTTACAATAATTATAAGCACAGTATAAACTATTTGATCACTTCACTTCCGAACGATCTTTAGATATGACACTGATAGCAGCGGCGGAGCCGGCGCACGCGCAACTGCCACTGAACAACCGTGCCAATTCCTGCCAATGCCGCCAACTCCGCCAATGCTTCCATTGCTGCCAGATGCCAATGATCCACGACCACGCCAATGAACATTGGACTAATATTTTCAGGGACAATTTTAAACCTGTACCTCAATGATTTGTTTAATAAATTATTTATTATTGATACAATATACATTATCGAATGTCACAACTACACTCTCACAATTAAATCAACAGTAGGGTCCTAATAAAAGTGGTGGTTCCAAGACGTTATTGCTATGGCAAATGCACAAATGTTGGTCGAAGTCGTTAAATGTTATTTTGATAATTTTCCTCTCTAAAGCTTCATATCGATGACTGAAAGAAAACAGTTTAACCGACGTTTCTCTACATTGAACACAAAGTTTTCTCTTCAAATAAACGTATAATTTGTTGCAATATTTTAAGAGTCTACTCTCCTGCCTAACTTTTCACACACTCACTATTGATGTTAACTATGTCACTAGCTATTAACCAAGTCATTGACATTGTGATATAATAATCAAATCGTTCCTTAATATAATTATTACACAAATTAATATTATCCATACATAAAACTGTTATTGAAGCTATCCGTCACCACTGACGCAGAGTATCATCAAATTTATTGCGAATACAATATAAAATTAAGCCAACACTACTGAGAACATCCCAAAACGAACTCTCTCACGTAATAAGCTGACTGTGTTTCCGTGAACTGCAAGCCAATGTTTGTCACACCTTTGTCTCGCAACTCCTGAAGCCTCAGTACATGATGAATGCCCACACCCGCTGTCTTGACGGATTTATTGGTTATTGCTGATTTGGGAACGAGAGACACTCGATGTTTACACTGGAATGGACAGATAGCTGTCCAGACTCGAGTTATTGGTCACATATTATTATATGTATTGTTGTTTGTTATGTCGTAAAATTATTCAGTTATTCCGAAGTTGCTGATCATTATTAATATACAAAGCTTTGCCACCAAGGTTGTGTCATGACACGTTCGCCAGTAAAGGGATAAAGCACTAGCAAACTATATACGCTGCCTTCCTATAAAAATATTAGACTAAAATAAGATGATCTCATGACCCCAAAAATTATCTAAGGAGTAGTAAAACGTTTTAAAAACTCATTCGCTGATCCTAGAATTTAGAAATCATAAATTTTCTTTATTTCACACTTTTCAGGACAACTAAGGTACTTAAAATAACAATATATTCCATTTTACGATCACAATAATTAAAAAAACACTTGAGCATATTGATACAATACAGCAGAATCTTTAACATTAAAATTTTCTGTCTTAATATTTATATGAAATACATAAATTTTCAATATCCCCATTCCCTTTTATGTTTCCAAAAACAATAATTCAAAGTCCTCATGCATAATAAACTGAAAATTCATTTCAATTTGTGTTGCGATCAATAATTTTCCGCGTCTCAAACTAAACAGTATAACGTACGATGTTCAATAACAAATTGTTTTTGATATCAAAGTCCTCTTTGAGGGCAAAAAGACGGAAACCGGCCATCAAGTGATGAAAGACATTTGGTGGAGACCAATAAAACTTAACAATAGGCACAGCATTTTGGATGTCAGCCAGCAAAAATGATGCTGTTTGAGAAACAAAGGATACAATACCTTTGTTATCTTCTCATCCCATGCCCTAAATCGATTCAAATGTTCTGTGAGCACTTATTAAGATCATTGCTGTTTTAAACTGATTCATACTCTTATGAAAATATACATTGGTACAATAAATTCAGTTCCTAAGTACACGTATTTTTAAAATAAGATAGGTAGTTTAAAATATTTTAAATTTAAAATTCTCAAAGTTATTCAAAAATATGTATTAATCTTCGTTCTTAGAAATTGAGTTCTTAGGGAAAAGTGTTAAATAAATTGCTTTTGCAAGAATTTTTACGAGTCGCTCTAGTAGAGTAATTCTCTGAAGCTTTCAAAATGTGTATCAGATATACGATCACTCCCAATCTATAATAATCAATCAATCTATAATATCATATTTTCCTCCTCAACGAAACAAAGAAAATCGGTACTAGTGACTTAAATAGAATATAATACTTAAAAAATCTACAATATGTGTTGTGTGTTTACAATACAACAACATATATATTATATATTCCACAATAAATGTGCATTAGTTCGTAACTATCAGAGCATCTAAGCACATAATAATAATATAATATATTTATTATTAGAGAATTTCATCAACGACAGTGTCCTGCTGCCAGCAGATACGTAATAAAAATATATATTTCAAAAGGAAATACAGTAGGTATTAACAACATAATCGTGTATAATAAAACAATCATCAACATACAATATTCAACATTCTCATTAAAATCTGAATATAAAAAAATACAGCATGTCAACATCGCCAAAGGACGTCACTTTTTGTAGACTTAAAACTGAACAAATTTATGTTTTCATCTGTGAACAATAGTTATGAAAATATTAATTTAGTATAAAATATACTTTCTAAGCTTTTGATTATTAATATTATGCGTTATTAATATTATGGAATAAATAATCCTTAATATTTAAAAAACTAAAAATTTTAAATCTAGCTTTCGTTACCGATTTCATTACGCCATTATCAGTAAGAATATATAAAATTATCAAATATGTAGTATGTACTTAAAAGAAATTTTAAATAAGTTTGTTTTCCCTTTACTTAAAGCTATATAATACAATTATATTGTTTTGATCTAATTTCTTTACGTATAAGACACCTGTTATAATCTTAGTTTCCTAGTAACTCATCTTTTAAAACTTACTGACATTATTGGTTCAAGTTCTACTAAAGGGACTATGACTATACCATACCTTAGGGCTCAGTACAGCCTCTCTCCGTCGTAAGGAGCTCCATCCAGTTCTGGTTGCCTCACACCCTCTGGAGGCAGACCCCAGTGAGGTCGACATCCGTTATGAGCCACGTATCTCGGGATCCTGTCGTCCCTGATCATCTCGTACGCCAGCCGAGCTATGCTCTCCTGGTACTCACTGATACCAGTTTTGTATAAACACGGCCGGACGTAGCCAAGAACTAGATGAAAAAGAATGAATTAAGGCTACTCTTTCATAATAATCTTTCCTTTCCTTCTTTGTTAAGTCTTTTTCCCTCTTAAAAATAGTTTAAGGTAAGTATTATTTATAAGTTTCTTTACAGGAATGACTTTATAGTCATGGTATGGACACACATACATATGAAAACTTGAAAACAATACATTGAAACACAATTATTAAGTTCTAATAGAGCATCACTACGATATGTCTATCCCCTTTTTTACAATAGTATGTCAAAAAAAATTGCGGGCTAACAAACAGCAAACAACTTCTTCGTAATTGCAAATGATGAAAAATTTTCTAAAGGTCGGGTTAACTCAGAAAACCATAGTTTAATTTAAAATCAAAGAACATTTCTATAGAAAGAGAAACCTCTGAATGAATTAGACTAAATATAACTCAATAATCAATTCTTTTTACCATATAACCTACAAATTATGTAATTACTGTTACAAATATTCAAATAATATTCGATATAACGACATATTTGTTACAGCGGGTGTCGATGTTATCATTACAAAGAATAACAAACACATACTTACAATACCTCACGACGGTCGACACGACTAAATATCTTACCAATTAATTAATTTAGAATGTTCATTTACACATTTTGATCCTCAATGTTTGTACAAAATGTAGCCTAGACATTTTCATAATACATAATTGGTTAACTTAACTGTCGAAATTCTTTCATTTAAAACGTCTTTTCTGCAAGTCAGCAAAGCATACTGATAGGATCGTGATAAGGAAAAGGAACCACAAAGACAGATAGAAGATAAAAGAAATATAAATAATAATAGTTATATCTATACAAAGACGAAATTAAAATAAATATATACATATGTATTTCAAAAACTACATTGATTATAATTTAACTATTATACCTTCTAACAGCGGTGAGTTACTTAAATGAGTGGCTATAAAAATGTCTTATATCATTTTAGAAAGAGCTGATGATTCTCTTATATTATTAACCAAAAATAGATGTAAAACAGTGGTGCCCTAGTGGTTTAAGGGACTCTCGTGCATGAGGGCGCGGGGTCGATCCTGACAAGTACCAATGTGATTTTTCCGAGTCATATGTACTTTCTAAGAGTATTTAGACACCACTGACAGACGGTAAAGGAAAACATCGTGAGAAAACCTGGGCTTATAATTTCACAATTATAAGTTTGAAATCACCAACCCGCCTTGAGCAAGCGTGGTGATTAATATTCAAACCTTCTCCATGTGAGAAAGAGGCCTTTGCTCAGCAGTGGACTCTGATAGGCTGATAACGAAGTTATAAACCACAGCAGGGAAACTGGCTTTTAAATTAAAAAACCCATCGAAATCGGTCAATTCGTTTGAGAGCTTATAACCACCGTTTTTGCGTCGGGTATTTATTAAAGAAAATGTATATTTAACTCTAAATATATTTTTACTACAAATTGACAGCGTCGTCAAAAATCTTAAGTAAATGAATTTGATAAGTTACTGGTCATTGTAATCAGAACTTTCTGTGTAAATCGTTTCATTTTCACCAAAGGTATGTAGTTATCAAATATAAAAGTAAACACAAAGTTAAGAATTATTAATTTATTTTCTACTACAAAATATGTCGATGGCAGAACGTGTTGCTTATAAGTTCCTTTTAAGAAGATCAATACTAGGTATCTACTATGTGAAGTTTACATAAATATATAACAACTATTTAAACCTATTTAAGATAGATCGTGTCTAGACTAGAGTTTTACATTGTAAACTTTTTTACATAATTATTATACTTTTAATTACGATCTACTAGTCAAAAAAATTAACAAGAACCAAATTTTTAAGTTGATACATATTATACTATAGTATTACTTAAATAGTGATTCTACAATGAATGCCTATTTACAGAAACATATCAACCTAATTTATATAAATTATATATTAAATACACAAGCCTATGTAAGATATAATGAAATCTACTCTTGGATACTAAACTATTTATAAACCAAAATATCAATTAACTGAACTTTTTATACTATAAGTAATCCAATTATACTTTGATTAAGACACTAACTCCTCAACTGCGTGGGAAGTGGTTCCAGGGTTGGCTTGTCCATGTCTCTCTCGTACAGTTCCCGGGCCACTTTCATCAGCTCTGTATCCTTGATTGCCAGCTTCGGGGCCGGTGGAGGAGGTTCATCCGTCACTACTTCCCCCGCCTTGCTACATACTTTTTTCTTCTCACGAGGTTTGAAAGGCCTAGTCTTGAACTCTAAAGTAATATGTCGAATAAGACGTAAGGGGCCGTTCAAGTATTACGTAAGCAGATTTATTACAATTATTTACCCCCCTATCCCCCTTGTCAGCAAAAGTAAGCAAAGCTCTTACCCCCTCCCCCCATGCTTGAGTAAACATTTTCAATTACCTACTACATATATTTTTTTTTTAATATAAATCCAGAAAAAAATTATAATTGTATTTTTTTTATGGATCTACTCGATGTGACGATTAAAAATTAATAACTACCGATGACGTAATCGATACCTAGACTCCCCTACCCCAAATGTCATCCAAAATAAGCAAAGCAAAGACCCCCCGCCCCTCCATAGTGCTCACGTATACATGAACGGCCCCTTATGATAGTATTATCCAAAAAGATTGCATATTCAAATTGCTAAACCTATCTCCGATCAATTTCCAGTGTAATCATTGTCTCATTGAAAGCTATGTATAGATTTTCTCTTTCCTTTCGAAGCAATAGTCAGTCTTATAATTAATTTATCAGATAGATGAAGAACGGGAAAAAATATTGAACTACACATAACCGCAGGAAAAAATCTATTGCAAGAAACGATTTCATAAGAACCGTTCTATTGTAAATAGCATCTATTGGAAGGGCCAGCTTTGATGTTGTTTTTAAAGAACACAGAACCTTTGTCTATACTTGGCACACATCCATTCAGTAGCCGTCTTATTATATCTTTTAATTTCCACGTATATTCGTCATTCACACCACAAGGCAGACAGCCCGTCGACACAAATCTATATATTCCTGAATCCAATATTCTCATGCTGTACCGCGAAAAACACATTAATCTTTGACAAGGAGATATTGTCCTCAAAGATGTGGGGACTGAGGTTAACATTAATTATAGCTCGGTCGTCATGTTGCGCTCGGATTTATTCATAGCCCTATAATAAGATTAGTTGGTGAAATGAGCTAAACTTTGAAATTACAAATTACTACATGAGAAACAGTTCGTTCTGTAAAATTTTATTTGAAGATCCTTATTTCAGCGTCCGTTCTTAAATGTTTTGTTATCTTTCCTATATTTGATGCAGTTGCTTTAAAAACTGTTAGAAATTTTCATTTTAAGAGCTTGTAATGCTTAAAACTAAAATACAATTAAATTGATACGGATCCAATAAATATATCACTGTGAAAAGAATTTGAATATCAATTTTTTTAAAGTTAGTTATTTAATTGATAAGGTATTAAAAGTAAACTTAATTCCATATCACTTGTAAGCGTCATTAATTAAGTCACCTCAGCTTTAGTTAGTCATCTAACACATCAGCAAAACGTAAAAATACAGTTAAAATAGAGTGATTTTTAATTATATTAACCTGGAGACAGATGGGCACAGTAGTCGTTGTAGTATGTCGATTGACCCCGAAGACTGTGCATTGTATTTTTGATAAAACCTTCCACCTCCTCTTCAGACCATGCTTTCTGTGTATGTGATTGAAGATAATGAACTGACAATTCAATACTTACCTAAATAGCTTTGTTCATTTTTATAATAAGTACTTGTACTTTCTTAATCATAATAGCAAATGAATGAAACGTTTTGAGATTTAAATTTCGTAAGCATGGTAGGGGAAGTTTTATTTAATACTCTTACTACCAGGAATAACATTTAAAGTTTTTTTAATTACACTAACTTTATAATGGATTTATTTACACAATTTTTAGCAAGATATTATTAACGCCTCAGCAATGCTTTGTAGCTGTTAAAGTTTCAGACATTTCTTCTAATTTTTGAAGTAACACAAATTTAGCACCAAATAAAAGACTAACCCATTCTTTATTTTAAATTGTGATTTAATCTTAGTATATTACAGTAACTCACATCTTCTGTTCCCACTTTAGGGTCCAACCATTTTCCTTCCAATTTCGCCCATCTGTTTTCTGGGCGACACCTGCAGACATTTTTTAACATAATTTCAAAGTACAGAAACCCTATGTACAACATTTTCATACATTTAGGTACTTATACAGTTTGCAAGTTGTACATAATTTAGAATTTTTATAATTACTCACATCTTAGTTTTCCTGATGGGATGTAGGCGGTATTCATCGAAATATTCCGTAAGAAACGACATTTTTTTCACTGCACTTATTAATTTTACACTTAACTCTAGCTAACCCTACTTAACTGATGAATGTTAAGACATAACTGTCAAAATATATTTGTTTCTAATAAAATATGAAACCTTTGTCGTTTTTTCAATGACAAACCGATTAGTATACCGCCTTCATGTATAATGCGAACCTCTGAATACCCCTGACATTTCCTAATTTCTTATACAAGTTTCTTTCCTATTGTTATCACGGCATGGCATGTTTTATGATCTGAAGGGTTAATGCACAATTGGAGACGTAACTTTCTTTATATCGGAAATTTTGTTTATGATGGAGAATCTAACCCTTGATTTTATTACACTTAGATTAGAACCCTTACATAATTCTTGCATATTTACGATACGATAAAAAAAACTGTCACTTAATGAATAAAAGTAATAAGTTCCTCATTTCCCTGTTTACTAATATAATAACCCTGTAAAACTTTAATTATTATGATGAAAAAATTCTTCAGAATATGTATTTGTTACTATAGACCAAAGGTTGTTTCTCTCTGTTTGATAAACTTCGTTATAACAAGCTAAACTGGTTCGTTTACATCGCTCGTACAATTTTTATGTGCGCCGCTAACCACAGACAGTTGGCGTGTCGGTGCGACGTAAATCAAGCTATCGTATTTTTAGATGCCACTAATTTGTCGTGATTCTGCAGTCGCTGTGAAGGTCACTATCAGAAAAGATATCGAACCAAGGTTGTTGAAGATGGGGGAATACTCTAGGGATCGATTAATCTGTGACATTTTTTTTACGGTTTTAAAATATTTGAAAACTTCTGTACCCCCTTTATTATAGTAATTTATTATTAGTATACTTTGTCACTATGGCGAGTGCAATGCCATTTTAAACCCCAGTAACTGTAAGCCATCCTTTAGTCAGTACCCTAAGTAAAAACAAAAAGAAACATTACATATGCGCATAAGTTTCATTCCTCTGAACACATTTACTTTTTCTTCTTCCTTAGAGAATTTTCATTAGAAATGCACAACTGTTTCCTTATAAGTTTTGAGTTCTGTTCGTTAGAGTTCTTATGGTATATACTACCGGGACTATGGGGATGTGAACCCTCATCGCCATTCAAGTAAAGCCTTAAGTAGGCTTACCGATGATACAGGTTATTTCAAAAAGCAACGATTTTCTGTAAGAGAAAACAAAATGAAAAAAATGTGATCATTTTAACTTTAGAATCATTAATCAATTTTGGAAAAATTACTCTCAATCGTTTTTTAACAGATTAGATTTCTTCTTCTTCTACAGCTAGCGCCACAAAACAAAAATTAGTTCTACCAAATTTTATTTCAGATATAAACAAACCTCCTATAAATAGGAAAGAGATATTTTACAAATCTATTTTGGGGATACCAATAAAGATATAATATATCTTCATTTTCCTAATAATTAGCGCCACATTACACATAGCGCTCGTAAATAACACCTAAATACCGTCCATTAATATGAGTGCTACTTCGATTGGTTAGCGTACAATAACATTCCTCAGCTGATGGTCATTACAAGGATTAATTCGTATACCAAATGATTTTCACTGGAACAGCGTGGACGGCGGTTAATGTTTATAATATGGGTTATTTCAATCTGTTGAGATAGAATCATGATTACAGAAAATTTAGCAGTAACTTTCATGAATAGAGTAAAAAATATCTTGTCTTGTAGGGCTATACAAGACTTGCATGTTTTATAGTAGTATTTGAGCCCAATAATCTTGTGAACTTCAAATATCTCAGTAAAAAGTCATCAAACACTAAATGCTTTTACTTCGGTAACACTGTCATACATTATTAATGTTACCCAATTATAGAATCCTTGTCATTTTAATCAAAGCAGTTGTTATGGAAATAGAAATTTATGCAATTGAAAATATACTCGGGAACAATTTTTTAAAACTAAGTTTTTAGAATTTCTTCATTTTCAACAGAAATTGAAAAATAATTTATTAAAATAGATAATAAAAAATAAATTTTGGTTTATATTTCTCTTTAAAAGAGTAGGAAATCAAATTGTGTCGCTTATTTTAATTTTTTTTTTGAATACTTAATTCTGATAGTATCTGTAACCATGATTTACGGAAAGGGATTAGTCTGAGACTGGAGTTAAATAAAACATTTTTTTGGGACGTAAGGACTATTTAATAAAATCATAATAGAAATTAAAAATAAAAACATGTTACATTAGCTCTCACACAACAGTGCACTTCGTAATGTCCAAATTTATTTAAAAAAATATCTTAAAGCTACGCATACAAGTATCATATCGTTCGCTGAATACAATCCTACGGATACAACCCCCTCCCCCCCTTAAGGAGGGAGTGACGTCACATCCGTCGGTCGTATTCTCCATCTTGTCTTACAACTACCCTTCATTTGACATGACCTACATCTATATTATACTAAGTGAACATCATAATTATATTATCAAACAACAAGTAACCGTCAATGTTCACAAACGCAGTTCATCTTATAGTGGTCGGCTTACAACAATTCATAAATTTAATCAACATCCAAATAAAACATATTGATTGGTTAGATCGATTTTATTCCATGATACATTAGAATTAGAACCTCGCGCGTATGTATACAGCGGCTACGTCGTGGTTTGCGTAGCCTAGTCGCTTGGCGTGTTTGAAGATTTCGTTGGTGGTTGCTGTGAGTGGTAGAGATTGCTCCAACGCGTCTCCAAGACCAAGAGCTAGCTTGAGGTCCTTCTGCATATGACTCAAAGGCTGGTGGGTCGAATACGACGACTCGATCATGGCTGAGGAATGGGCATAATAACGTTACTACAACTATATATACGAGTAATCTTCTCTTACATTTATTATTAAAAAGTAAATAAAAATTCTTTATTTTTTTTAACAAATTTGTACTCAAATATAAAGTTATTGGAGTCTCCTTTTAAGCATATGAAAAGCCTGTGCCAGGAAACTCCGCTCTTCCATATCACGAATAAGGTACAAGTATACAAGATATTTAAGGTACAACAATAACAAAGAAACAATATAAAAAAGTAAAAATAAGAGAAGTAAAATTATTCTACAACCATACTATACTTCGTGCGTGATATATGAAAATATCTCAAACTATATTTTTTTAAACAATTCCAGATAAGACTCAACATCGAATTTTGTAGTGATTGTTATCTTATGTACATAAGCGTACATCTGTATACTTCAAGAGATTAATTCGAGGTAACAGTAGTTGAGACCCATATTGTTAATGTAATAAAGTGGGTAATTCTATGTAACTTGTCTAAGAGATACTTATTTAATAGACAGTTCGTGTAGTCCGATGTCACTGGAAATATAGCGGTACTCAAGAAAGCACGTCTATTTATTTCTCCCTATTAACGATAGTTTAGTTAGGTATGAATAGTGTATTTCGTGGAATATTCATGATACTTCCAATCATTTAACGGAGCATCTATACATTACAAGTACAGTAATACCCCGCTTAATGCGACCCCGTTTTGCGCGGTTTCACTATAACGCGGTTTTCAAAAAAATATTCAGGTTGGGACATTGCAGAGTATAGACAATAATGATGACCGTGTCTTGAACGTGTGTCAAACGATTAAAAACAGTGTTTGGTTTTATAAACGTATTTTATAAAAACGTAAACAAAACGCTACCCAAAAGATAATACATGTATTTTTTCGTAAAAAATAGGAGTACCTAGGTATTTTATAGTGTTCTTAGAATTAAAGTGATTGATTAAAATGATTTTTATATTTGTGTATTAAATTTTGACTGTGTTTAATCATAAACCTCGATATACGCGAATTTCAGTTAACGCGATTTTCTTCCGAACGTATCCCTCGCGTAAAGCGGGGTATTACTGTATACACATCGCACTCTTTGTAATAGGGGGGGAATGTTATTATAGTATGAGGAGCAGGTCGTAAGTTATACCTCGTCCCTTAAGTATAAGGTGCGGGCTGGCGAGCGGTGTTAGCGCCAGTACATCCAGTAGATCAGCCTGACTAAGGCCTGCTCGGTCCGCTAGCGCCAGGCCCTCGGCCAGCGCGCCAAGAGACACGCCGCCAACCACCTGGAGAACTGAATTCATCTTGGACGCGTTGCCAATCTCACCTGGGAAAAATATACAGAGGTTGTAGCACTTGATATATAACACGAATAGTATTTATGTAATGATAGGTAAAGATTGTATGGCTTCATGTTTTCAGAAGTGGGGACAGCTTACAATCTCGTTTTGCTATCAAAAAGAAAAAAAAATGTAATCTGCAACTGGAATATAATACTATTTAAACTATGGACAGCTCCTTAATCGATATCTCTGTAAAACGATATACAGAGGTTGTAGCATTAGATATATAACACGAATAGTATGTTTGTAATGATAGGTGAAAACGAGATTATATGGCTTCATGTTTTCAGAAGTCGGAATAGCTTACAATCTATACAAAAAAATGTCATCTACGAATGGAATAAAATATTATTCTATGGACAGTTCCATAGACAGAAGCTCCCTAAGCGATATCGCTATACAGACATTAGTCTATCTCTCTTTCTCAATTCACTATAATCATGACATCTCTTTCTTCCAGGATACTTCCAAAAAAATCGTTTATGTTATAATATAGCGTATCATTGGGAACGCGCACTACTACCGAGGTAAAAGGAGTTCTTGCTCATCGCCTTGAAGCACGACTGACAGTCATCGAACAGCGAGCGGTCTCCGGCCGCCAAAATGATGAGAGTGCCTTCCTCTGCCTGGGTTTTGGAGCCTTGGATCTGGAATACAAGAGAAAGTGAGTTATATTATGAGTTCGAGTCACGTTATGGTAGTATATCATGTTTTTTAAGGTAAAGAGAGCGCAATTGAGCCGACGGCCAACGTAATGGAGGTAGCACCGTTGCTGATATGTGTTGCGAAAGTGTCGACATCCTTGATTAGGAAAGATGTTCAGGAAAAGTGGGAAAGGGAAGGAAAAGGGATAGGGCAACACTCTCTCACTCATCGAACGAAATGCAGCCGTTAAAGGTTTCTTCACACCGATCTTTTATGAGAAGGTGGTATTTCTACGGTCGAGCCAGACCATGTTCGAACTTTAGTAACTTGACCACAGCTAGGCTCTACCACCTACAAAATCATCTATCTCTGTCTAACCTGTGCTTCCAGATATCTCCCTCCCTTTCCCCCAAGCGCCTCTACTATGTCGTGTGAAGTATCGGCGTCTATGGAAGTCATTTCCACGTAACCCTTGCCCTCCAAGGTAGGACAGTGCAGCACTCCGCAGTTGCCGAAAACCATCTGACAAATAAAATTCAGTATATAAATTATCATAATACATTTTTTATAAGTAAACAAACATACATAATAATTAGTATTTATATTATGAGATACAAATCAGTGAGTTAGATCGTAATTTTGTTATGAATTATGAACATATAATATATATTTTAAAAGACGTTCCGCCCGAGCATGATATATCCATCGTCGCAAAGGCCACGGCGGAAAGGCCGTTAAATAACATTACAGCGACCTCCGACATTATATCATAGTATTTACCAACTAAATATAGAAAGGTGCATTTTATTACAGAATGTAAATTAATTTGTTTATTGATCTCAATATAATTTCAAATTCGATTAATATATTAGCCATAACATTAATGAATCAAGTCATCAGATAGTTGGAAGAGATTTTTTTAATGAATTTTAAAGTTGCTCTAGGTTGTGTAGTATATATAGTGGCCGGGTTGCGAACCGTGGAGGCTATTCGCCCGCTCCTCAAAGAGTGGGTGGACCGCCGACACGGTTCCTTGACCTTCCGGCTGGTGCAGATCCTCTCGGGGCATGGTTGCTTTGGGAGGTATCTGTGCCACATAGTCGGAAGAGAGCCGACCGCGGCGTGTCACCATTGCAGTTGCATGGATGACACGCCCGATCACACCTTGGCGGAGTGCCCTGCGTGGGCGATAGAGCGTCGCCAGCTCACCGCGGTGGTTGGCGCAGATCTCTCGTTGCCGGCAGTGGTTCAGGCCATGGTCGGTAGCGAGAGTGCCTGGGAGGCGGTGGTCCGGTTCAGCGAGTGCGTCATCTCGCGGAAAGAGGCCGCTGAACGAGCGCGGGAAGATGACCCCTCCTCGGCGCCCCTGCGTCGACGAAGGCTGGGTAGAAGGCAGCGGGCCTACGCTCACCAAATGCCTCCCCAGTGAGAGGAGCCTCCGGGCGTTGGTGGGGAACCGGCGTCCGGGCAACATAGGCTGGAGTGAGAGTGGCGTGCTTGGCGTTCCCGGCACGCTGCTCTGGAGTCGGAGGGGAAGTGTGGTGAAGCCACTGTGACCCCTGCCGAAGACGGAGTCCATGGGACTCGTGCGTAGTGAGCGGAAGTATGGCTTGCCGTTCCCGCTCACTAGCCTACGCACAGCGCAGAGAACGCCGAGGAGTTTAGTGGGTGGAAATCCCACACGCCCCCGCCGTGTTTTCCCCCGCGGCGGGAAGTCTTTCAAAGATTCTCCTCGTTATAAAAAAAAAAAAAAAAAAAAGGTTGTGTAGTATAGTGTTTGTATGAGGTACCTCTTTGGCCGCCTGAGGGTCCGCTACACACGAGAAGGTGATGTCAGCCTCTTCAACCACATCGCAGGGAGTCACAGCTATCGTAGCACCGACTTTCTCGAAGTCTTTACACTGAAACAATACAATTCAAATTTAATACACATTCTTAATATCGATTGACTGACTTTACAAGCCATTCCTAATGTTTTACTATTAAAATTTATTATTTCAACATTTCAATTAGATATATTAAATTATAATACTTGTTTCATGTTATAAAATAAATATATCAAAAGGATGTAAGTTTTTAAGCAGAGCGCCATCTAGCGTGTATCACAAACACTTCTAGTTTCTCATGGCGTCACTGGATGTCGCTACTTGTTTTTATTCGTCCTCGAATCGATACCCGCGCCGCGCCAACGTGTTACGGCGTCAACGACCCCACGCTCTGAACGGCCGTCTGGTCGCTAGTCGCGCGCCGCCATTTTGATAACGGCTCTTTATAATGGCGCACAGTCATGCACTGTTCAACACCGTGTCAAGTTAGGAACTCGTTTCATTAGGAATCTAAACGACACAGTGACGAATTTCGTTTAGTTGGAATACATCAGTAAGCAGCAAAACGGTTGAATCACAAGAGATAGACGCTAACCACTAATAATTCATATACTCTTGATAAAGAAGAGTCATAGTTGTAATTAAAACAATAATCTTGTACTCATTAATCTAGAATATTCCGATCCACGTCTGTATGCAACGTTTTAATATGTTTAAAAAAAATTCCATGTAACATTAACCCGAGGAAATCCGTCATCAGAACTTAAATAGAATTCCGACGATCCTGAGTGTATCCACGCGGGCCGGCGAACATATTTATAATATCATCAAACAATTGAGACTATAAAGTGAAGTTTAGGAATTACAAGCTGATGTCTGGACTCTGAGAAGGTCAATGGCGAAATATATACAGTTACAAAACAGAAACGCTTCTATAAACACATGAAAATACTGAAAAAAGAACTTAAATCAGATATAAATAAATTCTTTATTAAGATTTTAATCTTCTATGATCTTAATACACGCTTATTTTTACTTCATACGTAATACATTTCGTGTTTGTTGTATCAATGTATGTCAAGTAATACGGTCGCCAATTCGTCACAACATTTAAGCAATATGTAACATACATTTGTAGATCGCTTATAATTTTTAAGTAATAGTAACGTTCCATTCTTTGCTTATATTTCTCCATACATGTATCATATTGTTTTAAGTCAGGTATAATTAGTTCTGTGGGATGTTTGTAAGCCAGGTAAGGTAAGTGTCTATTGTACGATGACTAAGGTTTAAAAACCGGTCGAGTGAAAGTGTTCAGTGTCGCTCAAGGTTGTTTGAATTATATTAATCTTATTATTATATACTTTGTTATATTTCTGTATTGCTAATTTTATTTTACTTTGTATTTACGATTGCACGTAAAAATATCACTTTATTGTGTTTTTTTTCCTAGAACAATATTATTACATTGCAACAAAAATTTGATCGTAGTATATAACAAATAATAAATTGTACCCTATATGTTATTAAAAACATAAAATTAAAATTATAAAACATATATTACTTATAGAATATATGATAAACCAAGTACATATATACATTGATATAATAATTATAAAGTTGTATTACAACTATGACGCATGATGTTAAATTACCATTTAGCTGAATATGTATGTACATATATGTCATCATATGTCGCGGTATGCCACAGTCGTCAGTCGTGACATATATAAATCATATCACATATAACTGAACGGTAAACTTTTACTCCTTCATTGTTTACTGCCTGATCGATCTCACACAACGCATTCTTATCTCTTCTGAGTAACGGTCTGTGTTATTATAACACACACATATACACACACACGCACACATATACACGCTGTACGCTTTATATGTACATACACGTAATTCTAATTATAAAGATATAATTTAGGAATGCCACTAAAAGCTCAAAGCATAATACCTCATCATATCTGATGTATTTAACGGAGATAATAAAACAAATGATATATACGGATTAAACAGATATCATCAAGATAGACATTTATTATATCTAATAGTCACCACAGATGACACAGATTAAAGACGTCCTTACATTCATTCATCACCTACTGTTTTTTTTGGAGGTTCATTTTTCGTTTATGTTTAAACTGTGGTCATGTACCTAACTCCTAAGGTATACTATTTATAAATATACACAATTAAGACGTTATATGGAATGGTATCCAGAAGAAAAAGTGTATTGATATGAAGATGATACTATAAATAATGTTAGGAAATAAATTTTATCTGTTTTAATCTCCAACCATAGATATTAACTTCCAACTATCAGTGCCAACTGAGTGAAGTAACGCTGCACTGCGGGGGTCGAAATAAAAATATAATAGAAAATAATCGAACCGTATTTTATATGAGACCTGTCTCTGCCATAAATATGTCACATTTTCAATTTAAATCGAATAAGACAAATGTATTTTTAATAGCACGCATTAAGCCTCCAAGGATGATTAGGTGTCGCACGAATAATGCCGTTTTTTTATACTTATACTAATAAAAATATTAATAGTAGTTCGACGTTACGATTCTTTAACGATTATAAACCTATAGATACTAATTATACAATATTTCTTCTATATTGAAGACTGTTTTTTTTTTTTATTTTTAGTTCTCTTTATGGTATATTAATAAAGGCAACGGTCGAACTCATTCAACCACATCCAGGCCATCCTGTTTGCACATACCCTCGTCTGCCACCACCTGCTTATAAAAAAGAAACATCTGTCACTGTCAATTAACATTAAGAAATTGTTTCGAGTTTTTGACATATGACGTCAACTAAATCTCTCGAATATAAGGAATTGATATAATGTACCTTCTATTTATAATTTTTGGTGTTATTTATATAATTCTTAATGTCTTACTAACGTCATATCATATCATATCATATATATATACGACATTGAGTCATTTCACCGTCACTATTAACAAGCTGTACACCTGAATGTCGACGTACATTTTCTATAAAATGTTCTTATTCAATAAAAACGCTGACATTGGCAAAATATTCCACCGATTCCAGTGCGAATGAAGCGATAGCATTAATTAAAAATTGTTCTATACAAATTGTATTTATTAGTCTCATTAAAATGCACAGAGATATGATTTAAATAATTCGTTATTTCGTTGTCAAGGAGACAATAGAAAAACGTTTCAACTACCAGAAATATAAATATACTAGATTTCCGCACGCAGCTTCGCCCGCGTGAAGTCTGGGATAAAAACTATCCTATGTACTTTCTCAAGGTCAACTATGTACCAAATTTCATTAAAATCAGTTCAGTGGTTTAGGCGTGAGAGCGTAACAGACAGACAGACAGACAGTTACTTTCGCATTTATAACATTAGTAGGGAGTAAGGATATCCTTTTTATGTGATTAGAATTTTTTTCCTTTATGTATATATCTACCAGTATATTCGATTATTTAGTTGCTACCCGAGTAACATCCTTGACATACTACAACTAGTCACCAAGTAGTCGCTATTGAAGTAGATTGACACAAACATATGTTTTACAAACTGTTATTATTAATTATTTTATACTATCTAAATGTTACAGTTCCCATTCAAAAATATACAATTTCCACTTCAATTCAGAAAATTTTGTGACAAATATTAGTCGTATGTTGTTAAGTGAAAGTATATATCTTACAAAGTATTTTATGCCTTGATTGTAGGTCATAGTTTATAAGACATCCCTCCCTGGTTTTCAAGGTCGTGGAAACCAGCGATCGATGGAGTGGCGCGAGCTGCTTCTGAGAGGTGATGATGTCACAGAAGGACAGAGCGTCTTCCTACTAGCTTGAGGAGGGGGGAGGCGCAGGCGCGTCGGATACACGCTTACCCCTCCCGGTAAAGGAGAGGGAATTCACCCCCCAATAGAAACTAAGCTGCGATTCAGTTGAAATGCTCACTTTTCTTTGGAAAAGACATGACAATCCTAAGAGAAGTCCCGTACTATACATGATATTGGAACTTCAATTGTGTGAATAGAGTTGTTTTCACATCGTCTTTTCTCACTAGATTTTACGGACATTCAAAAATACTGTAACATGAACATAAGGGGAGAGGAGATGGGCACAAACACGAGTATGTTAATAATTTGTATACTGCAAGCTTGAGATAAGAACCTATATTCTAAGCCTTAAAACAACAACTAATTTGAATATCTTAACCTATCCCAGTCATGTCTGCGTCACACAGAGCCACGTCGCATGTCTGCACAATTATTAAAAGTCTTAGCAATGTTTCAACTGGGTCAATATACAATATTTGTTTCTGAATTGCAACATCTGCAATGCAACAAAATACATCCAGATATGTATGCGATGTATGAATATTTAATTCTTGGTTTTGTCTAATATAATCGAGTTAATTTTTATTGCGTTTTATTTCCTTTTATGCAGTCTTTTGTTATCTTTTAATCTAGTGTGTATGTTACTTACATCACATGTTTAACAAATGATAAAACTTACTCTAAATTCCTGCTTATTTTAAAAATTGTGTATATTGAAACATACTAGATAAGAGTTAGTTCTTGAGTACTAAGAATTTTTAAAGAAATATACGTGTTTTTAAAGTGAGATGAGCGAAAATAGAATTTTCGTATTTCCAAGTCTCCGCGGCTTCAGTTGACCTTGACATAAGCCTTTCAGGTGATCGTGGGCGGAAAGAAGCCACATCTGATAACCATTCCAAACTTCTTATATAAATCATAAATAAAATCCGTAAAAGTTTTAAATTTCGTCTTAATTACGAAACTGAGGATGACCGAATTTGAAATATTATCTAGACCATATTTTACATAATATCGTACATTAAAATTATACATATCGAAATTAACCTAATTTTTAAACCAAAATATCTACAGACATATTGCAGGAAATTATAAAATCAAATTCTCCGTTGCTATGGTCGTAACAAAACTACGTCTAGTTTAAAAAGTGTTACAGAGTTTAATATGATAAGAATCGGCTCAGCGTTGATAGACGTTGACCGACCGGCCTCTATATAGTTAATTAGAACGATGCTTAAATATATTAAACTTAATATAAATTTATCTCGAAACTTATATGGTATGAAAGATTTATAGCGATTTAAACTAATGAGTACAGGATTTGAACCATTTCAATTATTCAAAACTAGAAGACCTGGCGCACTTCGTATCGCCCTATAATTAAGAAATATCTATTACGTTTTTTATTTATATTTTTGGAGTTTACCTGTAAGCCATAAATCTCCGCGTTTTGAAGTGCGACAGAATGATTGACATATTAGTTAGTTGTCAAATCTAATGTCAAAAAAACCGTTTGTATGGGAAATAGAAAAGGGCTGTTTTTATGGTTTTCCCAGTAATGAATCAATTTTTTTCAGCTTTTATACCTTCCCTGAACCTCCACGAAC